GATAAAAGGTTCAATCGATAAAAAGTACCCAAGCCTGATCAGATACGATTTCATTTGCATATGCAGTCGGCCTCAAAATGGTATCCAATGTTTATATAAACGAACAATCTAGACTATTGTCGAAATCTAAAATGTAAACAATTATGTTATATGAAATAATGTGAGAATGTCACGAAGAAATATTAATGGTTAATTAATGGGAAGTTCATTAATTCACAGAAATAAATTATTCGTTGAGCACTTTAATGGACTACCAGTAGGTATGAAATCAATGTTACTATAAATTCTTTGAGAATTTATTAGTTATAACGATTGAAATGAAAATTACAAGGTAACTTAGTGGAGCGGAGTAGCTGTAAAGGCGGTAGAAAATAATATAAAGAATTTAATGAAAACTCATTTTCTGTGCAACGAAAGAGAAACTGAACCTAAAACAACGAAACGCATCACCGAATTATTCTGATATAAGGTGTTTCGATCAACTCGCTTCAGAATCACTCAGTTACGAAAATAGTTCTAGAAGATAACAAATACACAAAAAAAATTATTTCAATATAAAAACTGATACTGTATGAACAGTACCCAAGTAGACACGAGATTTTTAAAAAATATATAAGAGAGTATCTTATAAAGAAATATATGATTTGAATAAGCAATTCAATTAATTATTAGATAATTATTAACTATAGTTAAAATATTATTATAATTTTTATTTCCTTCTTATAATAATATTTACGATTATTATAATCGTTGTGTCACATGTTATTAGTGTTATTATTTAATATTGCCGTAAATCATAACATAATTTACGAAATTATTCATCAACATAATATTTAATTATTATTGTTATTGTTGTTGTTGTTGTTGTCGTTGTTATTATTATTATTATTATTATTATTATTATTATCATTATTCATAGGTCTGCTTTTTTATCAAATTTTAAATCTTTAATCTAATATTTTTATGTATTTAAAAATTGTGTAATTTTATCATAGGTCTGCTTTTTTATCAAATTTTAAATCTTTAATCTAATATTTTTATGTATTTAAAAATTGTGTAATTTTATTATAACATGTATTTTTTAATAATAATTCAATTCTTCCAGTTTAATATTGTATAATATATTAAAATATATAACATTAAATAAAATACTCTTTATACTGTTTAATTTACTTCAAAAGACTTTTTACAGCTTAAAATAATAATTATCTTTCTTTTTACTTAGTTGTAACTCTATTACACAAACTAGTGATGAGTTAATGAATTTTTTAAACTAATGATACGGAACTATAATTAATTAATCCAACTATCTATTCGTCGGTACTTACAGTTTAATAGCTTTTTAATATGTTAATGGCAGTAAATATCTCATCAAAACTAGTTATTGCAATATGAAGTTTAGTAGTTATAGATTTTAACGTGTAATATTCAAGTTTCATTTTTATTAACAACCAAATGATTGTTAGCGTATATTCTACGTCTCAACCAAACAATTTATATTCTCTTATAAAATCTCTCCTTAAATTACACCAAATTCGACCTACTTTCGAAATGTTTCTAATCGACTTTATATCGACGTTCGCTTCAAACGCGTTATTCTCTTTATTGACGTTTTACACATTTAACATTTTATTTTTCTCAGTTAACACTTCAGTACCTCTAATACGGATCTCATAGCTTTCCTAATACAACGATGGTTTTCTAAAATTGTTTTACTTATTTTAATTAGATTTATTATTTTATTTTTATAATCACACTTTACTACATTTTTTACATTTTCCATCAAAGTATCTCCTCACCTACCTAGACTTTTATCGTTGTTTTTAACTATATATTAAAATTTTCTTTTACAACTCTTTTCCTCTTTATCAATATTGGTTTTCGTTCGACCCAATTGTTATTATTACCGATGATTTGGATAACTTTAAAGTGATTATAGTTTTCAGTTGGATATTAAACTATCTAATCTTTTTTTTTTTTAATTTGTCATGCCATATAAGGGGTCGTTACATTTCTCGTGCTTCTATTATTCTATGTGGCCAATTTGATTGCGGTAATAAAATTTATAATAATAAATAATACTAAAATAATAGTATTAGTACTCTACCGCCGATGAATCAAGCGTAAAAGATTTTAATATATTTACAAAATTATAAATAAAATAATGTAGCGTATTTATCGTTTTATTAAAAAATTATCGTATTGCAGAGACTTTAAATAAAATATGAAAAAAACGATCATTCGGCAAAATTTGGTAGAATTATTACCATGCAAGTATTTTTATAACCGAGATCACAAAAATTTAATATTTTTTATTCGTTTTGGTCAAATTATATATAAATCGAATTGCTAATTTATCAGATTAAACATTATATCTGCATTTGCCTGTGCATTTAACGCCTCCGCAATTCTCTCTCCCTGTATGCATATGCATATATGTATATAATTTTATAAAATAGTAATATTTTTCATTTAATACATCAATGACATTTGAATTTCTACCCTTCGAACTTATATTTCTATATAAATTTCTATATAATAATATAAATATAATTCATATATAATTTAGAATTTTTTATACAATAATAATAATTTTATTTTTAGAACATAATACACGCGAAAATGACAGATTGATAAATTATAATACTTTCTTATACAACAAAAACATTCTTATATTTGTTATTTATTTAAATGTGTTTTTAAAAATCTAAAAATTTTAATTCATTATCATTATTCATATTATTATTGAAAAATGCCAAGATACGATTGCAATATTTGTTTGCATATTTATTATGAATATTAATTTTTCAATAATAGTTAACAAAAAATTGTAAACATTATATTTCGTCAGGATGTTAATTTAGAAGTTGATTAGGTAGATTAAAAAACAATTTCTATTATAATAAAAAGGATATCAATTTAATTTCAGTAATAATGACTGTAAGAAATAATTTCTTTAATGAAATGTAATTTTACATTTATAAGTTTAAGTAATGTACAGTGTAATGAGAGATGAAAGAGAATATATTCAAGTTGATTTTCCATTCTAATCATCGTTTCCCTCTATGCAATTATATTAACTTTATGTATCCATAAATGCCTTGTGGTGAAAAAGTATTTAAAAATATCTGTGTAATAAAATAAAATAGATGTAGACGCCAGTAATGTCTATAAATTACTAGTTTATATAAATAAATAAATAAATATGTGTGTGTGTGTGTGTGTGTGTTTGTTGTGTGCGCGCTCGTGCGTGCGAGTGTGCGTGTCTGCGTGTATTTATATTTGTATTAATAGCTATGAACAAAATTAATGGATAATGTTTAAAACTGTAATAAAGCAAGGAAAAATTATTTCCGCGTCCCACAAACATTTAATCTATTCCCGCCCTAATGAATAACCATAAGATAGACGAGTTCTCAGATCACTTTAAGAAAGCCAAATTACCTCATAAAATTAATAAATTAATTAGGCGCGTGCACTCAAACTTTGCCCCAGTGAACTAATTATAGAAGCCAGAAGCTTTGCTCGAGAATGTGGTTCATTAAAAGATGAGAGAAATTGCGTAGAAATCGCGAAGCAATCGCCATCAACGCACAGTATTCTTTTCACTGTCAGGTAATAATTTATTGATGCCGTTAGGAAAATTACAGATAAAAGACCGTATATGTTTAATTATTCGTTACTTAAATTGTTATTTTATTTGTATTGCGACAAAAGATTTTGCTATTATGTTTCAAATATTCATTATTTGTAAGGTTTTATTTAGAATTACTCATTGTATTATGAGCTTGACGTCACAATAAGTACAATGACACATTATGCAAAATTCTTAAATTCTCCAATGACAATTTTTAGTAATTTGTAATTATGTTTATAAATTAATTATTCGAATTCTTTAATTTGTTGGAATCAAATTCTTATGCTAAAATGTAAATATCGTTGTCTTCAAAACTAATTATACCATCACTATACTTGCAAATGAATATAATCATCAATTTTATGAAATTACATTGAATAAAATAATGCAAATACTTCAATAAATATCCGAATTTCCCGAAATAACTCTCCATGTTTTACAATATCAGTTAAACTTCCTTTGGAAACTATTAGTACCTACAGTATGCATTTTCTGAACATGTATTTAACGAAAATTTAGATAATTGAAAGCAATTATATAAAAGCTTTAAATATACATATTTTAATGTTCTTGATTCCACGTAACAAAGCAAGTGGACATAGTTTTTAAATAAGATAATAAATTTCAATATTTAATTTTATTCATCTTAATTTCTCATTTTTAATTTATAAAATTGTCTAAGAATAACATGTTGGCAATGCATTCTTTTGATCAAATATAAAAGTTAAAAAAAATTTTCAATAGCTCAATCCGAAGAGAGAAAAAACGTAAACTAAGAAATTTCTGATAAGAAGTATTGAGAAATATGCGCCAAACGCAGAGTTAAATAAGAAATCAAATTAATAGCAAAAGTAAGAAAATGAGTAAAGAACTGTACTTTTCTACCAAAGTGAATGATGCCAGTGCAAAATGAGGAAAGGAAGGAAGGAAGGGATGAAAACTTGTGCATCGTGTATTCTACTACTTATTAGATTGAAGCTGATGGGCTAAAGTCTAGTTACGCGCAATTCGCTCGCTTTCGTGTAACTTGATTTAGAAAAATTGTGTAAAAATTGCGTAAAATCACACGGAATTGAAAATTAAGATGTTGGATTTAAAAGTATCTGCTGCAGTCACATAACGATTTTTCTTTAAATTTAAATTCCTTCACATCGAAATTGTTCTTAATCGAAATTTACAAAATTCGCAAACGTTTTTATGCGGCATAATAGGATTTTCGTTTCTTGGAAAAAAATGCTAAAATTTTCACTTCCTTGGGACTTTTTTAAGCTTCCTCTTACGATTATAAACTTAGACGAAAATCTAAACAAAATTTAAACTTTAATAACAAATAAAAATCGCGCTTGTGCGTATATTTGCCTACCTGTATCCGTACAAGTATTTATATAAATCGGTGAAAAATCAAGTTGCATTAGTAAATTTAAAGTTAGTTGTGCATCATCTTCAATACCCTAATTATCAAAACTATTATACTTATTCGAGAATATTGCTACAATATTTATAATATCAAATCTGCGTGATATTAAAAAGCTTTCTCCAGTCTCTGTAAATTCGACAAAGATCTCTCTTACGCTCTTTTTGCCCCTTCGTACTTTGGGTCGGAGACGCTCGCGGTCGGGTCCGAGCGATCGGTCGAGCTCCGCCGTAATCGGTCTTATACACTGGTAGTCCTTGAGGGTGTAGGGTCGGAAGGCTTGCACCGACTTACACGGCAGGACTGCATTGTCTAGGAGGTACTGCGACTCCAGCACGCGCCGATAGAAGCTCGGCTCACTGTTGTCGTCCTTGGGGAGCGAATCGCCGTAGTTCGGGACGCCCTCCTCATGGAGCTCGAGGTCGAGACGCCCGTCGGTACTGTCGCCGCAAATCGACAGTCGGTTGCTCTCGAGGGAGCGATGTCGGTTTGGCCGCTCGATCCCTGTGGATCACCAGCCATTTTCCTTTAGTTAGGCTGGATTTTGCAAATTTTGATCGCTCGGCGATCGATCCGACGAACGCTTTGCTTTGGCGAATTTGAGAGAGATGGAATGCTCGCGGCTGAATAACGTCAATGTGCCGAGGCGAATGACGTATTACATCGCCGATATTAATGTCGCTTATGGATTTAAAACGAATACCACTGAGCATTTCAAATAAACAAATTGGTTTTTATTCAGTTATAATAATGCAATGTCTGTCAAAAGTTTCTTGATTGTGCCAATTATATATAATGCGGAATTGGAACATTTTATCTTGCAGCCTGTCTTTTACTTATAATCTAATAACAATGCTCGCTGCTTCGAAACAACACAAAAACTTTTGTTCCCAAATATATTCATACTCGTTACTTTGGGTTGTTTTCATTCGTTTTTTTTTTTTTTTTTTTTTTTTTTTTTTTTTTTGCCGACATGACAAACTTTCACGAAATTATTAGGTGCAAATAGAAATTAAACTCGGAGTCATAAAGTTATTTTATATTCAAATAAAAGAAAAATAGAAGAATAAATGGAGAAAAAAGGAAAAAATTAATGCAAAAAGGGAGGAGGATATTGTATGTATGTGTGTATCGCTACATATAGGAATTAAAATTATTGACTTTTCGTACATCGCCTGAGATTTTTGCCTCTAGACAAATAATAAAAGAAGTCCCGGCTAATCGTGAAATTTTTAAAAGTGCGCTAACTACATAAAAATAAAAGTTAATTAAGATATTAACCTTGTATCTTTAAAGGCTCGCCGAGTGCTTTTAATTATTTTTCTTTTCTCGTATTTTCCATTTGTAACTCATTACGTTATGCTTATCTAATTCGGTGCAGAGGAAAATTAGACGAAATTCCGCGTGGCAGTAATTCGACAAAGAATCGCACTTTATTCCGCAAAAATGCTTGTATCCTCTGTAATTAACATTCAAAGCCAATGAAAATTGCTGGGAATTCGATTAAAATCGGGACCGCAAAGCAGCCGAAAAGGGAGTTCTGCTCGACGGCTGCCAACGGGAGAAGTGGAGCCGAGTGTTATATATATCAAAGCGAAAGAATAATTGTCGGGAGGAAAAATTTCCCGACATTCGCAAGAGCAGCTAGGGAGCCTAGTCTGTGATCTCACCGAGTCTTCGGCAATAAAGGTCCAAGTAAGTGGCAGGACGTCTCGGCGGTAGTCGCGGCCCCGGCAGTGCAGCTTTATCGCACCGCTCGGAATCCGTCCGGATTCGAGGATCGGGGGGTGGCTCTTGGAGAATCCGTGGCTCGCAACGAAATGGGGACTGCGGCGTTCCTGTGGCCCTCGCCGGGATTTCCTTTTTGACGATGGCTTGCGAATGTCTGACCGGGAGACGGCTCGTAAAGGACGCCAGCGACATCGAAGAGGACACCCCAACTGTCGCCGTTTGCCATTGCAAGCACTCGTCGCTTGCAATTACTGCATTCTTTGCACTTCGCTTAAGCAACTCCTCTGCGGTTTCATTAGAGCTTTCCGGACCTCGTCATAAATAAGTTCCGTAACTCGTTATTCACTTATTCTTTTTTATCGCGTTCTATTGCACCCCCCACCCCCTCCCCAACCCCTCTTCCCGGTAATTTTGCCTTGTCAAACGGATTTCTTTATTTCCTCCTTCAAAGCTAATGTAATAATATGTATATATACACGCGCGTATATATATCGAATGTTTTATAAGAATCTAGTTTAATGCTTTGCTTTGTAAAAATTGCATTGTTTATGAGGAGATTTTTTTTTTAAATCCTTATTATGAGTTTTTATTATTTTTATTTTCAATTGCAATTAACGTTAATTGATTTTTTTGCTTCTTTTACGATAGCAATGAAGCAGAAATTTATGAATCAACTATCATTCACCGACTATGCTATGGTGTATCGTAATCAAATTTTATATATATTCGTATGTATATACTGAAAAAATGAAATTCTTGTTTTCTATCTTAGGTTAATAGTGTCGTTAAGGTTAAAATTTACCAGTGTTCGTTTTCTTTCCTTCATGGATATTTAAATCAGAAGAAGATGGTCGTGGCTCGTTTTCTAAAGAATCCAATGAATATACCGACATTACCACAATAAAGATTTACGGAAAAAAATATACCGCCAAATAAATACTACGTCATGAAAACTAGTTTACAATTTAATTAAATTTTATATATTGAAGTTGGCGTTTATCATTTATAAATAGAGAAAAAATTATGTACATATACAAAAAATATTAAAGCAAACTAATCTTTGCGTTGCTTTTTAAATGCTACGAATTATAATTTTAACGAACCAATGTCCTAACTATATAAACAACTTCTAAATAATAATGTCTAGATAAAAGAAATTTGTTTAAATTTAATATTAACTGCAAACAATTACTATCATTTAAAAGAATTCTTTATTTAATTTACCTCGTGTACAGAAATATAAAATGACTTCTGTGAAAAATATTACTTAAATGAGATGCCATATTTATCAAAAAGAAAAAGAAAAAAATAAAAGCTTCGTCTTTTATAATAGGAAATTTGCAAACTAAATATTTAAAATTATTTATTACAACACATGATTAAATTTAATGTTAAAATTTTTTAATTTGCAACGAATGTACTCAAATTCAATCTAAACATTCCAAATAATAATAATATTTAAATACATTACAAGGGTACAAAAGTTTTATTAAGTAATATATTAAGTTAATTAAGTATATATATATATATATATATATATATATATATATATATATATATACTTTTCTTTACATAAATTTGAATGACTTCATTTTCAACAAAAATATACAAAAATGATGTTAAGTAACTATGCTTATTGTGTAAATATTTTAAAAATTCGGCAGAAATATTTTAAATGGATTAAAGTTGTATTAATCCCTTCCGAATGCATAATAGCAAACAATTATGATTCATAATTATACATATTTATAATTGTGAAGTAATAAAGGTTTGTTAAATGGTATCAATATTAAATTTCATCTAGGTAATGCTTTTATTATAATGTACTTTCTTCTTCCAAAAATATATATTAAAATTTTTTTCTTATCTGCAAGAAATTAATATATATATATATATATATATATATAAATATATAATATTAAGTGTTATTGTTTACAAACATAAATAAAATACTGTATATATCAGAAATATTATTTATAAAAATAGCTACCATAATATAATGAATAGAGATTAAGGATGAGTAAGAATAAATAATACAAATGATAATTATTGCAAAAAATTGTATATTGTCAGTCGAAAAGCCATTATTTCTTGCTTCGTAAACTTAAAAACTTGTTTATAAAACACTTATAATCTTAAACAACATTGAATACATTCACACCTATGAGTACAATAATATAAAATTAGAATAATAAAATTATAAAAAAATGTGATGTATATACGGAATAACTGTATTTCATTTTCCGTTTGCGTGTTTAATCGAAGGAAAGAGAATTTTTACATGATTTTTATGATATCGTATGAATTAAATATTTTGAGAAAAATGATGTTACACGATTCTTTTCAAGATGGCGGATAAAAACTCAATTATTCTCGGTACCCTTAGTTTCATATGCTGATGATACTCGCTCGTCTTCGTTGAATTTCCGAATTCTCTGCATTTCTGTTCGTCGTGTTCTGAAATTGAAAATACAACTGTATACTGTACTTTGCTTATTGTTATTGAAATTTCTTCGCACGGGTTGCCAAGTGTACAATTACGTAAGCCGTCGAATTGTTTTACCTGTCATGTGTCTCCTCGCGTTCTCGCTCTTGCTTGCGACTCTGAAGTACTCGAAAAACGATGCAAATCACAATTAATAATATGGGCACGACACAGGCCAAAATAATACCAGAAGCCATCCCAGCTTGACGTGAGCTAAATTCCTGTTGACCTGATAAATTTTTTGAAGTTTGCATTTTATTCCTTCACATGTACACAAATATCGTATAGGACGATGATAAGGGTGAGGAATGAAAATTTCACAAAATAACTCCAGCGGAAATTTCCATTCCACACATAAAAAGCATAGAAAATCTATTTGAAATTTAACAATCACCGCAACAAATTTTAAGCTCGTGGAATAGAAATTTCCTATATGACTGTTTAAAAGTATAAAAAAATATTTATTGTAGCAATAAAGATAATACATGAAATTTTAACTGATAATATTAGCGTTTATGGCGTTTTATATTAAAGCACTGGCATTTATAATCGAGCGACATTTTATTTTTTATTTATTTTTAATTTTTTTTTTTTTTTTTTTTTTTTTTCATTCACAAAACAAACCACAATTATAATGTAAGGTATATTGCTCCAATCATTTCTATTCCACGATTCTCAAAAGTCAGAGTTACGCAATATTTTATTAGACTACGGCTGCTACCATAATTATCAATTACAAGCTGACAAGAGTAACATATGTCGGAGACGAAAGCCGTTTCACCTGGCATACTAAGTTACCCAATAATGTTTATCTCAAACATACAATGCTATACAAAGAGAAGATAAAAGAATATTCACTCGCATTTATCTGGACACACATACTCGTTGCGTTATCAGGCCGATGCATTTAATGCATCAACCATACCTGTCTCACCGTTCTAGTCTCGTAAAAATAATTAAAACCCGCGACCCGAGCGTGTAATATTTCGCTCGTTATCAAAAAAAAAAAAAAGAAAAAAAGAAAAAAAAAAATTCTGGCCTAGCGGTTAATTCTAATTCAAAGCCTACACGTCACTACACGAAGCGCATTCGTTGGAAATAGAGGAGAAGGTTTGCTTTACGGGGCATCGATCTGGAACTTTATCAATTGAAATTCCAGGTTGGCAGAAAGGCGGAATAGCAGCGTCCGCTTATACGTCGCTCTGCTTGGCAATTTGCGTGTCGAGGTTGGAGATCCTGCGGCCGGAACTAATGGTCGACACTGGACTGCCGGAGTGCTCCGCAAGATCGCAATCCTTGTCCTCGAAATCGATGTTCGGCTTGCCGGGTAAGGGCTCATGAGTTCTATAAACCGCGTCGTAGTTGCGCCGCTTGTGGCCGGAGCTCGTCTCACCAACATCCACTGGTCTCGTCAATTTAGCCAAGCTCGAGCTCTTGCTCATGGAGCTCCACGATTCCTTCCCGTTTTTACGTATCAACGCGAATGCGATGCCAACGAGGATCAGCGCGGGGACAAGGACCGCAGCTATTATGCCCATCGTCGTCCAGGCGGTCCGCTGCGAGTACTCGACTTGTCCTGTGCGCGCGAGCGTTCACGTCATCACATCGTCATTTCATTGTCAGTGCGAACATGCCGAGCATTGCCGATTTTTGGCTCCCTTGCTCCCATTCGTTCACGCATTACTCTTTTATCAAAAATATACGCTCTGCTCTGTGCCTAAGCTCATAAGGCTGGGTACAAGCCCGATGTCGTGGCCCATTCAAATACATTGCACAAACTCGGGAGAGCGTATATTTTTGCTTTATTAATAAGAGACCAAAGATTATTGATTTTAATGAAGAAATTGGAATACTTACGAAGGCATTCGGTATAGCCGTTCTCTGGTATATCCCAGCGTCCTTCGGGTAGGCAAATTCTCCGCTGATCGCCGATAAGCACAAAATCTTGATTGCACTCGAAAGTAACTCTTGTTCCCGGCACGAACAGGAAGTTGCTCTTTCTTCCGAAGCGCGGCGTTTCCAGAATTCCACACGATATTACTAGTGAAATTTTTAACGTATCAAATGACTCTATATCTACATGCGTATATAATTGATGATGCTCGTATAGTTTAAATGAAAATGATAACTTACTGCGTCTCGAATTAGTGGCTCGTATCTGTGTAAATGTATCATAGTAATTTCTCGTGAAATGCGCTAAATCTCGATTTAAACTCATAGCGTAATCGTACTGACACTGATAAGAATCGCCGCACAAATCGTGCGCTCGAATAATGTCAACCGTTCTGAAAGTGATATTTAAAAATGACTTTCAGCCGCATTAAAATTCAATGCGCTTCCCATATTTACATGTAGTGCATTAATTAATACGGAAACAGATGGGAAGAATATGCCAAGCTGTAAATGAAATACTTATATACGTTTATGCAAATGTATACCTATTAGAGGGTAAAATATCTTCTGGCGTTCTTTTCCATTCCGGTTCGAACGTTCTGTTCGCGTAATAACTTGCCGTGCGACCAAATTCCCTTGTAAACAACGATCCACCTTTGTACGAATCTTCCCTATCCTCTAATAACCAATTTATAGCAAAGTCTTTATGAACCGCTTCGAAGTTATTAAGATTGCTAATGGAAGATAATAAGCCATCGGGATTCGTTAAATCGTCGATAATGTCGTTGCTCCAATTTCCCAAAAGTCCTTTCGTTTTATTCTTCAAGCATGGTATTAATAAAATATATAAAATATATATACATGTATGTCGAAAAAAGAAAATAGCTAAAACACAATATTTTTTAGTTTACCATGTAAGACCAAGGTAGGTAAACCCTAGCGGTCATAAAGCCATGATTTTCCACAATCTCGACTCCTGCACCAGTATCGAACATTATGATAACTTCGCTCTGATTGAGGATGTAAGTGGGTGTGTAAACAACGACACCAGCAAAATGTTGGAACTTCAAAGAATTTCTGTCGAAATAAACTCTCTTGTTATCCGCAAAGACGTCGAGTCGATAGCGCCATTGAGCGTGATTTGGTCTCAATCTGACCTCAATTGTCGCCGAATTGTTTCCTCTTGCTGAAAATAAAATTCTCATTCGATCAAGCAACTTTTTTACTTTTCAAAGAAATCATAAATAAAATTCATTTCGTTATAATTGTTTTTAAGAAACGATATAGTTAATAACTACGACAAAAGTCATATGAAAATTGACATTTTTATTTACATTTCTGCTGCAATTGTTTAGGCCTATTTTGTCGAAAGTACAGGCAGAAAATCGTATTTTATATAAAGCAAATAAATAACATTAAAAATAGATATTGTAATATTATAAAAACAAGATTTCTCTATAATAAGATGGTTTTTAAACTCAATTTTAAAAATCAATAAAACTAGTTATAACAGCAATTTCTGATTAGTAGAGTTTAATGTAAATATATTTTTTACCTTTCTCTAAAGCGAACACGATATACGTTTCACCAAATTAAGTCCAAGAAAGTAGTTTCATACTATCATCAAGAATTCATTTAATATCGATGAAACTACAATATTTTCATTTTCAATTCACAATGGAAATAATTGTATCGAGCTTGTGTAATAAAAATTATATCTTTGGCACATATAATATTTAAAACAAAACAAAACAAAACAAAACAAAACAAAAAAAATATAACGAAAATAACAAATTTTCTTAATGTAAATAAATGAATCGTAAAATTTACTCTAGAAGCTAAAAATAAATTAAGTACATAGAAAATTATTTAAAAACAAGACCGAGTCAACTCAGTTGCACGCGTAAAGTTTTCAAAACAAGCTTCAATCAATATTTTCGCCACTGCTGTCTATCCTTACACCTATGGCCCTATATTTCAATCAAAAAGTCAAATTGCCCAGTATTGATAATCTACTTTTGCCAAACATCGACTAACGAAGTTTGAATCGTTAGTGCCAGGCATATTTGTCTATCCAGCGGCAATGGAGAGTGATAAGTAAAAAGTACTCAAACAAGAGATTGGCGAGCAGTTTTAACAGAAATTGGTCTCTCCTCGTTTGCAGATTCTTAATACGCATCGAAGTATCACACGATCATCGTTTAGGCCAAACTTCCGGAATCATTAAATTTGTACGCAAGCCAATCAAGGAAAACGCGACAAGCTGATAATTTGATCGATCAAAATGTCATATTAACCTGCGACGGCCGTGAGGTGGGTGGCGCGTACCTCCCCGTAAAAGTTGTCCGGCAGCTGCTCGAATCTCGCCTGTATGTCGAGCTTGTCCTTCACGTCGTCGACGCGCACCAGCACGAACTCACCCTTGCCGTTGAAGGTGTACTCGAGGCCGTCGAAGGTGGCAACGTGGGGGTCGCCGAACACGGCGCCGATCGACGGCGACTGGTAAGCGATGCAATCCTGGGAGGGTCGGCGCTCGAAGCGATAGGTCTCGCAGCCGACCGATTGCTCCTCCTGCCAGAGGCAGCACATGTACATGGGAACCATGTCGTGGAACCAATGGGACAGTGTCGGCACCTTGTTCGCCTCGTTCCAGGGTAGGTAGCCGAGGTTGTGAGAGCGGTGTGGACGCGATCCCCATTGCTGATCGTACGTCAGCATCAGCATGTTGTTCTTGTCGTAGCAACACTGCTGCTCCGAGCCGTCGAGGCTGCATTTTTATCAATATAGTTATCGTATATTCGGCTATTATATATATATATATATATATATATACATATATATATATGTGTGTGTGCGTGTGTGTGTGTGTGTATGTATATATGTATATGACTACGGGCTCATTTAATGGCGCGAAATTAATAATATTAAGGAGACAGCTATAACGATAGTTATTGTCCAAAGTTATTGTCGATCGACACACTCTCGGCCCGCTTAAGATGACGAATTTTCCTTTGTCAGTCAGTATATAGCCAGCGTGGCGTATGAATTTTAATTACTTTTGTGCGCAGGGTGCCTCGTAGAGCATGTCGTTTGCTTTATGTATCTATCGTTGGCTTTGAAAACAATTTCGATCATTTATTAGCAGAACGAAGTATTAAAAAACAGCGAACGCCTGTGATTATAACCGTTAGAAATATGACAACGAGGCGCAAAGTACGCGTTTAGTAGGCAAGCTGGTAATGAGAATTTTGTAAATTTACAGAACCGAAGAGTCTGCTACGCGTATTATCAATCTTAGTTAATTACGGAAAGAGCGTGCGTATGCATCTTTTGGCAAGTGCTTACTTTGAATGAGAATTCAGCCGCGCGAAAACGATGCTATCGCCCGCAAACGAATAGTTTTCCACAAAATTCCATCTGTCGACTGGATGCATTATGTAGCAGCAGCGCGCAAAAGTATTCATCCACATGGAGATAGGGTTCATGGGATCGTGGAGGGAGGATGGCAGAGAGAGAGAGAGAGAGAGAGAGAGAGAGAGAGAGAGAGTGAGAGGGGGGAGGAGAGTGAGAGCGTGAGAGGGTAAATGCGTCGTTCCGTGGAAAGGAGTTTCGTGTTTCGGCGGGTGTACTCACTTGGGCGCGCCGGTGGTGACGCAATGTATGGCGCCCCGATTGTAATAGCAATCCGGGTTGGAGTCCTTGTCGCAATTGTAATCGGGCAGGAAGCGTCCCTTGTCATTGAGGGCGTGCTCGAGAGTGCAGGGACACAGCGACACCTCAGCGGCGAAATTCTTCAGATACCTGTCGTGCATGATCCATTGGTCGCAGAGACGATGGGACCAGCGACTCCCGTGCAGCCGCTCCCACTGGGGCCCAAAGTACCATGCCAAGGGAATTGGCTTGCTCCAGAGCACACTGACGTCAACCGTTCGTTTACATATGTGCACAGGTATATACATGCGAGTGTGCGGATGCGTGTCGGTACACAGAGCCGCATCTTTCCGAAGCATTCGTTATTGCGCTTCACTGATTTTAATAATACTCACGGCGTTATATCCAGTCCCGAGTACTGCGAGGGATTTGTCAAGTTAATTTGGAGGAAACCAAACTGCATGTCGTTGGTGAGCTCATCGTTACGATTTGCAAAATTGGCGGGCGTTATTACATACACACCCGAATTCGCTGCCCCTTCCTGAAAAATCACGTGCACGACAATAGACGGCATTAGTTTTTCGATTATTTCGTACATTAGCGATGTATGTGTAAATGTAATTGACAAACTTCTATCATGTTTATGTATTCGAGTTCTGGTCGTATGGTAGTCTCACGGTAACCCCACAAAGATATTTGTACAACAGCATTGAGATTACTCGTCAAGTTATATTGATTCCATGTGATTTTTATTTCCGATGGATTGCGTTCGTGTACAGCTCTTGTTGAAAAGAATATCTTTTCAGTTGCCGAGGCGGGAGTTTCTATTACAGATAAAGAAAATAAGCGAATGAAATCACAGTCTATTATATGCCGCGCCTATAATTTCATAACCATCAACTCCCATCCAAATAAAATCCTCATTTTAATATTTAATTGCATTAGCGTGTAGATTTTCATATGCGGAAAATTAAAATAATAAATAAATAAATAAATAAAAACAACCATAAATACATGAACATTGTCGTAAATTCAGGATACAAATCGGAAATACAAAATGAAAAGATATCTTGTATTTAAATACTCCATTTTTCTATTGCCGTTGGAGTAGACAAAATTTGATTGATAACACGCTAAAACAATTTCGAAATATAGATGATTATTAGTATAAAATATAAGTAAAATTAAATTATTCTTTAATAAACGCTTTTTGACGGAAAAGAATTTTTCGAGTGTTTTTATTAATATTGGAAGATTTGAAGGATTTTATTGGAAATAGTTTCAGTTATTTACCATAAAGTAAATAAATAAAATGATTTTTATAAAAAGCGAAAGAAATATTTTGTTTCGAGAATACAGAAATATTTTTACAAAATTTTAGTCTTCTTGATTTTCTAAAATCCTTCTCTTGGCTAGAATTGCAATTTGAAGATTTAAATAAAATAATTAAAATGAAAATTACAAATGAGTACTTTGACATGCATAATAATAGCCCAGGCTTTTTCATTCAACAAATTTTCATGTAAATATACATAATAAGTGCAATTTAATTGATTATATTTAATCACCGAAGCTAAAAATGAGTATCAGGTAGCGAAAAATAAATCCCACCTTCCCAATCATTAATTTGTCGATATTTAATTCATAATTAAAAATGTATGTAAAATTCTTTATGCTATTCAATGTTTGTGCTTTACATATTACGAAAGGGAATGAAAGAATGAAAATATACTACTACTACACTAGCATAAAATACATGTAAATGCTAACTAAAAGTTTTCTTTCTTTTTTTCATTCATTTTTTTAATCTTTATTCTTTTTTCATTTTTGAATTCCATAAAATACGAAATAATACTACTTGTGATTAAATTTACATTTTATATTTCCTATATTATTGTCAATAAAAAAGAAGCCATATTTCTCCTCATAATTAACAATGTAATAAAGGCACGATAAATTTTTTATGCTTTAACTTGTAATTTAAATGTAATTGTGCATTTAAATTTAAATACAAGTAAATTTCACATAATTTAAATATTTTATGAAGTAAAATGTGAAGCCATTCATTACAATTACACAATGAAGTCGATAAAAATTAATATCATTCCACGTACCGTCACATTACTTTAATATATATATATAGCGTAACGAATTTTTATTAAATGTCGCAAATATTAACATTTACAAGATTTCAACGATAACCGATGATACAATACCATATACCTCTTTAATATTAATTCCTTTAATATTAACAAGCATCAACCAAAATAACCGCCTATTCTTTTACTTTACTATTGTTATTATTTTACCATATCGACCGGGCATCGCTTGCGACTAAAGGCCAACCTTGCGTAAACTCGGAAAGAGTCTATCCTTCAGGTTTGAACGCCAAGATTACAAAATCTTCATCCTATCATCGATCTACGATTATCATCCGTAGGAGTCTAGTGGACTCTTGATGTATCAGCCCATCGAATCTTATCTTTACCTATAAAGAACTTTCCCTTCCAGTCGTATCTGCCGCTATTGACGGCTACGGCGAAGCGTATGTAGCCCTCGGCCTTGACGAACGGTTGCACGCAAATGGCTCGGTTCGTGTCAATGATGGTGCCCACAACCTCCTCCGTGTCGAATCGACATCTGACCTTGTCGTTGGGCAGGAAACAGGGGCCCGTGATGTTAACGACGGTGCCGCCCAACATGTTGCCGCTCTCCGGTGCAAAGACGAGGGGCAAGTGGGCCCCGGCTGCAATTGAGTTCGTGTGCACAGACGCGTTATTGTTATCCTGGCCGCGAGGAGCATCTCAAAAACTTACCAATATCCTTATTACAGGTTCCGAGCAGGATTTTCTCATCGATTCGAAATATGTGACGGCCCGGGAAGCCGTTCGCCCAGCCACGACCCGAGAGATCGCGCAGCGTCGACGCCTGCGAGTAAGGCGCGTACTCGTAACTCTGGGTACCATTTCCGGCGTTGAATCCGATCTAGAAAAGAAAACTTCTTATCATACCACTTCCGCGTGGCCCCTACGTTCCGTCCCCTCCTTCTCGCCAAACTCCCCCGCCATTTCCATAAAACATAAAACGTGCATTTTTCACGTTTTCTTATTTCCAGTACGGATAAAGCGCACCGTAAAGACAACTATTATTTTAAATCTATCGAGACAACTAGATAAAGGAATCACTTTTCGACTTAACATTCTTAGATTTATTTACCGTAAGTATATTCATATTTGGAAAAATGCCATCTGCACATATTAATGAACAGTCATTTGATGTTTATCGTATTTTGTCACTCATTTTCATGTTTCTTCATTGGACTCATTGGTACAGAACTATTTATTAGATAGTTTATAATAATAATAATAATAATAATAATAATAATAATAATAACAGACGATTAAAGCCTAATGAATAAATCGCTTAACGTGTATTACTTCGATTAATATATATATATATATATATATATATATCCTTTTATTTATACTAAAATCTGGACTTTGTTAGCTCGCATATAATTATAATTTATTACAGAATCAACGTGCAAGCAGTGCTCTTTGAATAATATAAAATAATATTATCCGAACAGTACTTATTGAATTATATAAATATTGGTTTGAAACTTAATACGCGATTAAACGATCGTCCTACGGAGAAAAATTGCATCTCCCGTATAAATCATCCAGCCAATGACGAATGCAATTCATACGTCAACCTCTTTTGTTTGAAGACATATCATTGTTCCACTAATATAATGAGAATTTAGAAAAGAAAAAAAAAAGTTATACAGTCACTAACCGTATAAATACAATAAATTTTCTTATGTCAATTTATTAATCTAGAATATTAAATATATTTTTATTAACTATTCAGCTTTTGGTAACGCGGAGAGTTTGAAAAGCTGGAACTTGGAAAAGTTGACGTCGGCAAGTTAACAATGTCTCGTAATTTACGAAAAAGCCGAGTGCACATAAGCACACTCTGCATTTATGACAAGACACGTTGGAATAAAGTGGCCAAATTCAGGGAGAAATTACATAGAAGGTAATTATTTTTGTTAAAAACTCTACTTAGATATTTTTGCTCATTCAATAAACAATACTTGATTTAACAAATATTTTTATATTAGTAGAACATTCCGAGAAAGAATCCCATATGTTTTATCATTAAAGGAATTATTGGGACACTAAATGACAATATAAATGAGTTTTTTTTTTTCATTTTTATCAAATAAAGACGGAACGAAATATTTCATGCACTTTGTATAACGTGTTTAAAATTGCAAATTTTAAATACTACAAACTGCACGACCATCAAAGTTATATTATCCTAAAATGATAGAATTTTATTAAAAGTGGATACTTGGCTAAGCCGAAACAACATATCCAGATTATTGATTAATTATCATCGTAAAATCTCCTGGAGTATTCAATAATGTTTGGAAGGGAAAGTCATAGAGGCACGTTCGGACACAAATGTTTAGTTATACAATAGAGGGGAAACGAAGCCTCGGCTAGTCTAAAACCATATTTCTCTAGTTACTTTAAACTAAACTTTAACTAAAAACCAAAAATCAAAAGGTAAACAATCGACACAAAGATTCTTACGTAAGCCGGTACACCGCCTTCACCGCCAGTGGTATCACCGCCCGCCTCCGTGTGGCTCGTCCACTGCATGTCGAGATAATTAAAAATTGCGTATGTATAGACCTCGTCGGTAGCAAGGACTAGTTGAAAGGTGTTGGTTTTGTAGAGGGAGATGTCGATACCACCGGCGAACGACATGTTCTTCCAGGTGATGATGACCGCGTGCTTCGGATAGAACGAATCCGCCCCGACGACGCCCTCGCGGATGTCCCAAGTCAGCCGCTCGCGCACCTCAACACCAAATTGATCGCTTCTCTTCTGCAAATCTCGCTCCAATCTAAAATCCATACGACCTATCATTACACTGACTCGTAATGTATTTTTTTTTTTTTTTTTTTTTTTTTTTTTTTTTTTTTTTTTTAATTATCATTAAGCCCATTATTTTCAAGTGCTTTTCACGACGAGCCAATATAAAAGCTGACCATCGGAGCTACGTCAAATTCACCTTGATTGATTTATTTTTTGACTTTTCCTTTACACTTAATATGCAAATGTGGATCAAAAGTCTAAATTATTGGGTCGAAGGATAGATGTTTAAAAGAAGCGTACCGGAAGTAAACGCCAGGTCTTCGCTGATCAACGTCAGTTGGCTTGAGTTGACCGATTCGACATTTGCTGAAGAAAATACCAATGAAGGCTGGATCATTCATTTTTGGCCAATCCTTGACAGGAAAAACAAGTGGATAGGTGTAATGTTCCGGTGGATCGCTGAATTCCAAAAACCCATTCATAGATAGCTACAAAGCACAGATTAAAAGCTAATGTATATCAATGCCTATAGTAGAAGATAAAACAAGAGTAAATAAAAAAGAAAGATAAACTAACTCTGGTGTAATTGTAACGAAAGCCGAAAAACGGCAACTGGAAATTGAAATTTTTATGGATTTGTGGGATCGAATTATGAATATCGGTTTGATAGTCTCCAATATTATTCTCGCCTCCTTTGTCAAAATACCAATACATGAATTTCGAGCGTACATCACGTAGCCTCGTTTCAGTTATGGCGTAATTAGGTGTCGACTGGTCTGACTTTGGAGCATATCGATCCGCCTCTGGGTCATCCGAGTCTACAATTTTAATTAAACGTTCTTAGTAATAGGAACTTATCTTACAAAATCATTTTGAAATGCAATTTTACTCTAAATTAAAATCTCATTAAAAACATTTTTATGAAGTTAAATTTTGCATTCTGATATTCTTTGTGAAACTTATAACATTTTTAACAACTCCAAGTCATTAAAAAACTTACTAGTAATAAAATAACTTGGGCGATATTTGCTTCTTTCTTTTATAATAAAAAGCAAAAGGAGTGATATTAGGATTTTATAATTAAGTTTTACATACCGTGAAATTTGATGATGATTTTATTTTACAAAAATTACTTTTGATTTACTCACTTAAGGAATTCCTTTATCATAGCACTTGCGTATTTCTAATAAAGTCAATATTAACATTTCGATAAGAGAATTATCCTATGCGCGTTTATTGATTCTAAACTTCATTATAGTAATTAAATCTTAATTGTTGGAATAAAACATTAAAAAATAATATATCGTCATTAATTTAAATATTAAATCTCTAATTTAAATATTGATCGATAAAAATATTGATTTATTCATAGATTATATAATTCTTATTAATGATAGCAGACGATATATTAACAATTAAAAATCATATCTATAATGGATTTTGTTAAGATTTAGGAACCAGGATTTTGAAATGTATTCGTAATCATTATGATGTCACAACTTTTCGATCGGTTCTTATATTAATCGATTTACAATAATTTTTAAATTTAATGCAAATATATCAATATTATACCTACATAGATTTTAACATTAATCATAATATCAATACAATGATGAAGCATAAAAAAATTTGCAAAGATTTTCACATAAATTTAATTAACGAAAATGTATATGAATTTTGAAATTAACACATTATATTAAATATGATGAGGATAGTTATTCGCAATTAATTAAGTAATATTCTTTTAATTTAAACGACTTATGTTAACTATAAAGTTATGAGGAAGTTTTTTATTTGAATGGTTTAATGATTAATGTATTGCCAGGAGCTAAATGTATATCGTTCATATAATGAGTAATTCACGAAAATGCTCATTTATTTAAATATTTAAGTGCATAAATGCCCAATTTAAAGTAAAGTTTCAACGTCAATAAAAAATTAACAATAAATTGTTACTTTTTTTTAAAAAACATTTAACTTTTTTTTTACTCTAGGGTGCAACTTTTATTAAAATGAAAACTACTTATATTTCAAAAGTTACGGGGTAATACATACGCGCACACATACATACGCACACACACACACACACTCTCTCACTCACTCACTCACTCACTCATCCACAAGCACATATATAGATATATATATGCATATAAATCATAAATACAGAATTTCGTAGGATTAAAAAAATTTATTTTTAAAAAATTCAGTCCTGTCCTCCAAAATCAATATTTAAATATTTAAGTTTCAATATTTGGTCCAATATTTGGACTTTTCATAGTCAAACCTACCATATTTACAGTATAATAATTTATTTTCATGTTACTAGTGATCAAATAAAAGTTTGCATGTAAATGTAAAATATATAATACGTTACAATAAAAGGAAACATATAAATCAAACACTTTTAAGGACTGGTATATTATACAAATAATAAATACAATTGAAATAACTTTATCGCTATAAAATCGTTATTTTACTATTGTAAGCTTATATACTAAAAATATACTCCACAAATGTAAAAAGTCGTAACTTTAAAAGTTATTCCGTTCAAAATAAACAAAATTTTTTTCTCTCTTTCTCTTAAAGGTATTGCTTATTGGCAATAACGACGAAATTAACCAATAAAAGTAATACATAATTCATCAAGTAAAGAATTGCTTCACTGCCACTATCGCCCTCAGTACAATTATAATAACAGCGCATTTCATTAAGTGTGAAAAGCGTAGTGAAAACGGAGGTAGGATGATTCATAAGCGATTTACGCAATGAAACTAGTAACTGATAAAAGCCCAAGATATAAATGATGTAGTTGATAAAAAAAAAAAAAAAAAAAAAAAAAAAAAAAAAAATGACGATATGTGGCATCGTTGAATTGACGCATCACAAATATTGGTTTCGTACTATTATTTTAAGCAGGCGCGCTAAGTCCAAGTTTTTTTATTTTGTATTTAAGTGCCTTACGCACAAATCATCGTAGGCGTATAAATAAACTTCAATATGCAAATATTTGTCTTAAGTTGTAAATCGAAAGCATTGGTAGGAAACAATGTAAAGTTGCGCTGAAATTGAATTAAAGTGAAGTCAAATAGAAGTCAAATAATCGCAAAGTCCAACTGTTGATTAAAAAAAGACCGACGATGGTGACCGAAATTTTAAGATCGCCAATCTAAAATTATTTGTAATGCTCTGCGTGTAAAATTGGACGATAGGTGAGACCGAATAGGTCTCATGAGGCGTGGATAAAGGCGCGGCTTAAACGGTTTCTCTCTCGCGCACGCACACCCACGCAAGAGCGCACGCGGAGAGCGAGAGAGAGAGAGAGAGAGAGAGAGAGAGAGAGAGAAGCAGCTGCGATATGTGGAAAATAGTACGTCATTTCCTTTACCGTATCTCACGTATTTTCCAATTATCTCGTCGCCGATTAGCATCCTAGGCGAGAGGCCTCTCGGACCCTCGGTTTCCGCGCCGTTGCTCATCGTCGTCTCTACTTCATCTGCCTTATTTACATGTTCCACCTCGACCATCTCAACGTCCTTGGTCACCTCTGTTTCATCCTGGATTCCAACGAGGTCATCGAGCTCGGAATACTCGCGTGCAGTGCCCACCGGTTCCAGGCCGGACGCACTCGCGTCCTTGTAAAGCAATGCGAGGAGAACGAGGGACGCGAGGCAGCCCCGCGACACACGTGGTTGCATTTCCCTGCTTTCTTCCGTCAACTAGGTAATCGATCAGCTTCCCATCCGTTAACCTCGTTGTGGACGGTGAGGTGCGTTACCTGCGCGACTACGACTATAGGAGAATAGATGCCGCGAAGCGACTGAGCGGAGCGTCAAAAAACGGGAATGCAAGGTGGACTGCGCGATAACATTACGGAGATAGGAAAGATAAGACTCGTACGCTTATCTCTTACGGCGTACACAACAGTCCATGGCATGTAGACGCTCGCCGTAGGTACATGAGGCAACGTAAAGATACGGCAAGAGGTCTGTCTCTTGACCTAATTTACAAAAGGGCAATACGCTACGTTGAATTTTTTTCTTCTCGAGCGTAGATTCTCTCGCATATTTTCGTCGCTACTCCCCTCTCAAACGCTATTTCTTACTTATTACTCCTCCAACTCTTTTTAGGTGAAACGTGGAATTACATTGACACATATCTATATTAAATTTATAGATTCATACAAAAATCTTGTTTTTATTACACCTTTACAATTGATCGTGTATTATCATATGCATGAAAATTAAAGTATATCTTTGTGTGACGGAATTTCCAAATAATGTAGAGAAAAAAAATGGTTATTGTTCATACAGTTTGAGAAACATGAGAATGATAGAGTATTTAAGTTTTGAAAAAGAAAAAAAACAATAAAATAATTAATCAAATCGTTCGTGCGCGTACAAGACTATTTAAAACCTCCGCAATGTTGTTTGTGGAGAAAAGAAAAGAAAAAAAAAAGTATTACTGTTCAATTTAGACATATATTCACAACTGTTTCTTACAAAAAAAAACGCTCAACATATAAATCCACGCAAATTCCAAATCAGTTAGAGGTCAAAGAAAAAAAAAAGATATCAACATAAGTCATAAAAATGAGAACTTAAAAAAAATTCTTTTGCTTCTTGATGAGCAAAATGTAAGTAAAGACAATTAGCTAAGGTACAAACGGTTGAAATTTGCAAGACGAATTTATATTTCTATAAAATTCTTTACTTTTCGTTATAATTATGTTTCAATTAAAGAAATCTATATATGATAAAAAAAATTTAAAACTGAATGTTTCATGAATTGTACAGAATCTACACGCAACACTGAAACTGGATCTCTTAACTTTTCATTAGAATTATTCACAAAAAAGAATCATCTCCGTTAGATATGATGATACTGATGGTTATTAAGAAGATGATGAGTTGTCTCCATTACTGTCGAGATAGCCTCCGGAACCATTTACAACAAAAGATGTTCCCAATCCATACAAATGGCCACAGTATTTAGCATCATCGATATTATCCTCAAAAAACATCTGAAAGAAGTATGCTTACATTGTAGCCATCAATTGATTACATTTCATCTATATTATTATAATAAAGATAAACGTGTAAAAAAGTGTGGCTATATATAATAATAATGATGATATCTAATATTTATCTTTAAAATGCAACGCTCAAATTGGAAACACATCATTACGTAGTACATATTAGAAAATAAAATTCTATTACATATTAAATTATTTAATCATAGCTTTTTCTAGCAAATGAAATCTCTCAAATTTATTGATTAAATATTGGAAGTAATCTGAATTATCCGTATTATCATCGTCTCAGTTTATTTGGAAATACGAGCGGTTTTCGCAGAATCAACGTCAATTTAAATAATAAACATAGATATATAAACAGTGTGAGAAACATATTTTTATAGTAATATCGTCACCAATCATTAAACTTTGTAAATAAACTTAAATAGTTTCGTTTTAAGTATAACTAAGAACAGAACTAATAATATATGTAGTAATGAATATATATGAATAAAAACAACAGTTTAATTTACCTCTCGCATTTTAAAAAATACCATTCCAGTTAACAGTGAATCAGAACCAGCTTGATGTTGTGGTCCCACTCTTTGCAACTCAAGTTGTTCAGCAACTTCCTGTAGACCACCTTTCAGGTTTTTACACGATTTCATAAGATACTAAACAAAAATTAATTGTACACGATATTATTGTTTATGATATTTTGATTGTTGTTAAAAAATTAAAAAGAATTTATAATGGTAATGGATTTAATACGAACCTTGACATCATAAATAGTTGGAAAATATATCCTCAATAGTTCAAAAAACTCGCTTTCTTCTTGTGGTAAATTTTGATCCGTTAAAAGTTTAAGAAGGTAGCCAAAATCATAACCAGAATGAAAGGACAACCATTTGATATCGTCAACTAACACAATTCCTGAAGTCATTAGTAACTCAGCAAAATCTAATGGATCAATACCTTCTTCTTCGTGTTTTTTAAATTGAATGCCACTATTTTGTAACATATCTATGCTGTCTTGAGCATACATGTCTTCTCTGGAAAAGAATTTTAATGAGACCGATGCTGTCATAGCTTTAAAACAGTTTTAAAGTTTGCACGTTATCTAATGAATTACTTACTGTAAATTAAACTTAAAATTAAATTGCCATGTTGTATAGCCTGCTGGTGTATTTCCCGATTCATCAAGAAAGGTGAGACCAAGCTGTATAATCCTTAAAAGGTCTACATTGCAGCGTAACAATTGATATTGGTAATCTGCACTCGTTCTAAATTCACCTACAAGAAACAATGTGTATATTTAATAATTATTTTCGTTCAAAATGAAGGAAATAACGATGTTAGTACCAATTGGCCTTGCGACAACGCCAGGGAATTCTGTATCCATTGCAATGTATTGGTACTGTTGAACAATCTGACGAATCGTACGAAACTCTTCTTCAAGATTGTGGTTCCATACATCTCGGATCCCACATTCTTCATTACTGGGCATATTACCCCCACCCTTTTGTTGCCCTAAAGGGTTGGCTCCACCTGTAATAACAAGTAACGTATTAGTTTATAATTATATCAAAATATCATGTTATAAATGGTATCGTTAAATAAGTTTTATGTACTTTTACAATCAAAGAAGGTATTAAAAAATAATTTTGCAATAAGTTGTCTTATTTATTCTAATAATATTAATTATTCAATTAAGAACAATACTTTCTAAAATTTTTGGTGTAAATACAAAAAGTTCTAAAGAATCCTTTTTTATGCTATATGACCTTCGATCAAAGACACAGTCCTTTTTAATTCGCGTAACAAGCACACCTTCTCCTGAATCGACAGTGACTGCACATTTTGTAGAAGCGTCAAAGTATGAAGTAGCATTATCTTTTTGAGAAGTTCTTTATGTGTTTATAATACATAAAAAGAAGTATAAATCTTCGCGATTTTCTTGAGAATCCTGCAAATATGGACGTAACAAAATATTTTCAATCTTTGTTATAAAACCAAATAGGATGTCTCTTGCTTTAAACATAATACCGGATAAATTTATAATGTACTGGGAAGCATAAAGAATACTGTATGAAACCTGTTATTACCTGTGGCAGAGGGCATAGGAGTATTTTTGTTTATTACAGTTTGACGAGAGGTAATCCAATCCTAGTGTTATCCCTTCGTCACTGTCTCACAACCCCTCACATCACTGTGAATAAAAACAAAATCTATATTAAGCATTACAATTTATAACGTCAATTACAAAGACAGGAACAAACGCACATATAAACACATACAAATTAGGCTTTAATATCAATATGTATTAATAACAATGTTACTGATTTAAATTCGAAAAACATCAAGCTTTCAAATACTATTTTTGAGGTTAAGTTTACGGTAGCTCTTGATTAGCTCAATTTTTTACTACGTATTTAAAAAATTATGTACTTGGGATGTCATTTTTGTTATTTATTTTTTTTTTTCTTATGAACAACACAAATTGATCTACTGGGAAAACGTTAAAAGGTTATGTTGACTTACTAAAATCATTAATGGATGCAAAGCTTAGAAAGAACGACACTGTTTCTTGCTTATATCTGACAGAAATGGAGAGGTTATAGTGAATAAGTAAAGCCAGTTTCCAATGAACTGTCAGATTACGTAGCGGCAAAACATAACTAGATACTTCGCGCCTAAATAAATTTACATTTTACTTTGAATAATAGTTGTTCCTAACAACTGTAAAAATTAATACCGTCCTTAATTGGTAATATTACTTTTTAATTTTAATAAAAAATCTTGGATAACTGATAAAGGAGAATTGCGTGCCGAATAGTTTGTTACGCTAGGGAGTTTTTGTAAACTAGCCAAAGCCTAAATTCGAATTTATATATAGAAACATAAAAATAAAAAATACAGAATCTTGTGTTAATAAATTTTTATGCTTTCCATTTTACAAATTAAATTAATGCAACTAGTAAATTGTTTCAATTAATCGTAATTAATCGTTTTAACGAGCGTATGCATTGCATCACTGGAAAGTAAGTCAGTTTTCTTACTAACCTAAAGATGGAAGCAGAGCTAAACGTTTCGAATTTTACACCGTAGATGTCACCAACCAATTGTTCGGTTTAGCAAATTTCAAAAATGAAAGGTAATAATACGTTAAAATATGGAGAAGATTTATTTCGATCGGACAACTTTATTTCGATATATTAAAATTTTAATTTCACAATTTATAAAATAATTTTGCAATGATTAATCTATAGTATACATTTATAATTTAATTTCAAAGCTTATTCAGCTTATTTAACTCCTTTATATAATGTTTTTGTAAAACTTTACCAATATAGATATAAATTAAAATTGTATATATTGGATTACTGTACTTTTAAACAAAAATTATTCTACAATACTACATTCCAGGCTACTTTTATTATAACAAATGTTCGTTGGGTAAGTCAAATTTTTTCAAAATTTTCAAAATTTTTCTCTATTAAATATTACAAAATTGTTTTGGAAATAATTATGAATTTATTAAAGTGGCTTCATTTAATTTATTGAATTTAAACTTCATAATTCCATATTTCGAAATTGTATATATATTTAAAGCATTTTAATGAAACTTTTATATGGTATTTATTATAATATAAGAAATATAAATTGATTTATAATTACAACATTGAACGTAGAAATATTTGACAAAATTATAACGAATAAATATGAAAATATATAATTTCATATATGTAAAATTTATCTACTTTAATTATAAAGTTATTTACGACAACATTACATTCGTCTTTAAATTTATATAACAACGAAAATACTTCACTAATCACATTTACCTTTATACATGTAACATCATTATAATTTATAATACAATATAATCATAGAAAGACTTAAGATATATGAATATTGAATGTCTCTCAGTCTTCGATAGAAAGTTTTTCGTTCAGAAATATAATACTTAAATTAGAATTTTGCTTTGAAACTTAATTTCACAGAATATACAGTGTGATTTTACTAAAGCCATGTTAAAATAATGGTTCAAATTACAATAAAAGTACAATAAATCGATTAAATTATCAAATGTCATTACAATTTAACTGAAAATAAAATAATACATAATTGTGTGCTAAATCTTGAATAAAATAAATCTCGAAGAAAAATAAAGTACTTCTTATTCATAACAACTATTGTACATTCATTAAAAATACAACTTATTATTAGATTTTAAATACAATTAAAATACAATAAATATTATTAAATTATTGTACAAAATACAGATAGATATTAAAAAGTATTAAAAAATTCTTCGTTAATATTTTCGTACTATTCTTCGAATTCATATTCATCAAATTAAAAATAAAAATACAAATAATTCATTTGCTCAAAATTAGTCTAAAATATTTTTAATGCTGAAACGTTATATTTAAAACCATTAAAAGGAAATTATTACCTCCTTACAGCACATATGGTAAAAATTGTAAATATTATTGTAAATACATATTGTAAATTTCAATGTATACACAAATTTGATTTTTTTTTTTTTATTAGTAGTTGATTTATTTATCTATTAGAAGTAATTAATGAAAAACTAACAATTATTTATTAGCTATAATAACTCAAGTTACAATAACTAAAGTTAAAACAAAAGCAGTATAATGATTTTATTTAAAATGTTATTAAATTTTATATAAATACAAACATTATTCCAATTTATTATTATTATTATTATTTCTGTTATGATGATTTGGTGTTTATATTGTTGCGTACAATAACGGTAGTGATATATATTTTTTTTTAATTGAAGTTTCAATACTTTAAATTGAAGATTCGTGGCTTTGCTTATCAATAAATTGGCTTACGGACATAAATTTTTACAACGAATATTTTGTCAACTAAACTACTGATATGCCTAGGTATTTCTTCATTCTAGTCGTTCGTATATTATTCTAATCCAAATACAAAGTTAGGTACTCGCACTACGTTATATAAATGATCTATTTATACGTATATTCAAGTCCATAATGTATTTTACAAATTTTCTTTCATAAAATAAAAGATGATTGCATTTAAATTTAAAAAAAAAATAACCATCTGTAATAACAAAGCGAAGAAATTTAATGAACATTCTGTTAAAATTTTAATAGAATTTATATACAAATATAAGTATAATGAAAATAACTTTCATACTTCTGTTATAAGCTCTATTATTATAAATTGAATTTGGAAAACTAGTTAAACAACTATACGTTAAACTTCTGATTCGTTTTTACGAAAATACATACAATAATACGTAATGAAAATGTTTGAAATACGTAAAATAGATAAAAAAAAAAAAAAAACTGATTATAAAGTGCATTCTACTAACTGTATTAAAAATCATTAATTTTGAATAATTACTATACTTAGTGTGTATTTATATTTAATAGTAAACCAATATAAATAAAAATAATTGGTACAATTTATGTATATTTTTAATTTAAAAATATGAAACTAATAATAAAATAATTAGACATATATGATACATGTGCATGAGTATATACACAAGAACTTGTAAGAAAATGAATTTTACGCTCGATTTTAAAATTAAGTTATGCATTGTATTAAAGATATATATGATCTATTAGAAGTTTGTTCTTTAATAAAAGTTCACGGTACTGAGATTGTACGAAAAATTATGCTTATTGAATAACATTACAAATGAGGTTAAAACTTTACCGTAATACTGTAGTTTAATTCAAAACCGCCAGGCAAAAGATAAAAACAATTCAAACAAACTTTCAATACTATAACCGAATAATGTGTAAAATAAACATCGGTCCGCACCTGTTTTATTTAACCTAATTTTTATAAATAGAACATTCTTTTTCGTTATTATAAATTTTACGAATATCATTACGAATATCAATTCTGAATTTGTAACGTAATATCACGCACACCGGTAAAAAAATAAACTCCTTTAAACTTGAATACTAAATTTATTGATGTTTTTAGATCTAGTATAAATAGGAGAAATAAAAATTTTTTTTGAAGATAAACATAATTTTTTTGTACTGAATTGTAAGAATTGATTTATGATAAATAAAATTTTAATAAAATTGAATTACACAAATATTATCTTAACTTGTATTGATTGAATACCAAAATTTAATTGAGAATTTCTTAGTAGTTTTCATCTAACTCTATCATTGTGTTAATAAATATATAGTATGAATGATAATTTATGATTGACCGATTTTTAGTTATTTATTTTTAGTCATAACAACTCTAATTTTAATAATCTTTTTTAAGAATTGGTGTAGACGTTGTTGGAATAAAAACTGTCAAGTGGATAATAAACATGTAAAATCGAGTATATTTTATCTTGTAACCATTTATTCACATACATTCCTAACATCTGAATTTTTTTTGTTTCTTTTTTTTGTTTTTGTTTTTGACTTAATATCAATCACCAATGAATATAATTAAATTTTATCTCCGCTCCCTCGAGTGCAACTCGGATTTTTGTGTCTGTAACAAAACGCACATTGTGGTACAACTGCCATGAGAATTTATGAAATAATGTGTTTCTTGTAAATATTGAAATATTGTTAGCTTATATTACTGAAAAATAGGCAGATCGCATATGAACGATTAATCATTAGTCGAATGAATTTTAATACGAATATAGTTTATTACTGGCTAATAAACCCGAAAAGAAAAAATTATATTAAAATTATTCGTAGTATAATATCCTTAGCATAAGTTTCACCAAACTTTCAACGGACCGTAATTTTACAAGTTCTCGTAATCTAAATGTTAAAATACCTAATGATATTTGTACTTAAATAACTACAACTAAATACTAGGAAACAACTATTTGTCGTCTCGTAAAAGAGTGTAAATTAACGGTAGCTGTCCTTGATTTTCCATGTATAAATTAACGAATTTCATTAATGCACAAGAAACATTGAATTTGACAAAATCAATTGATTAAAAATTTCAAATACAAGTAGGCGCAACATCTCTCCCACTACAATTTCCCAATTTTACTCGGAAAAAGCCGGCAGGAAATCGTGGATGAAGATTGGTAAACGAGGATGATCCACACTGAAAAGCGCAATTTCCGTGAGCTGGAGTCACATGTTCGCCTACAAATACAATGTAACTGCACATATGTAATTGAATACAGGCATGCATTATTAGGTAGGTTGGCGGTAACGTGGGGCAACCGCTAACGGTTGGGAAACATGGGTCTTGCATCCGAGAGCTTTGAATTCGCGAACTTGAACAATGCAGGCCAATGTATTCCGCGGCTAATCATCGAAATGTCTCGTGTGCGAAATCTCGGATGCGATAGTTGACTTTTTCCTCTAGTATCTCGAGTCGCGCAAAATAAACTCGCGTTATTACTTGGTTTCGATTTGCACAGGCTTAATTGGGCGGCTCGGATCTCCGGCAAACACTCACACTGCGTTTGCACTGTGCCTTATAAATACGGGGTATTAATGCCGAGTGCCGAGGCGCGTTTAAATAGACACGTTCAAATAGCTAAATATGTTGGATTATTACACGACTAATGGGCCGGAGAGTTAATGGCCGGATAAAAATTTATCCGAAAGACAAATACGAGGGATGGATCTTTCCCGATAC